AAAATAATGAAATAAAAATAGTAAATAAAATAAAAAAGAGAATTCAAAGCTAGATTTAGGCTTTTTAAATGGCTATACTGTTTGACGTTAAGTGCTGACTGAAACTCAAAGCATCATGTCCTCATTGGAATATTGAGCCATTTATGATTGTTGTCTTTTTAAAATAATTTTTAAAGTAATTACATTTTAATTTGTGTGTGTCTGTGTGTGTGTGTGTGTGTGTGTGTGTGCGTGCGCACCTATTCACAATGTACATGTAGAGGTCAGAAGACAGCTCACAGGAGTTGGTTCTCTTCTACTGTTGTAGGTCCTACGGATGGAACTCAAGGCTTGGCAGCAAGTGCCTTTTACCCACTGAGCAATCTTGCCGGCTTTATATCTTTGAGTAGATTTTTTTAAACAAGCGTTTGTTTGTAGGCACATCTAGCTTTGTTTTATTTATTTTGAGGTGGAGGTCATACTGTGTTACATAGTCTGGGCTCAAGTTGCAGTTCTTTTCACATTCTTGAGTGTCTGTGATGGTAGATGCGGGCGTCTGTGACTGGCCTCTAGCTTGATCATAGTGCCCTTCTAGAATGAAAAGATCTATGCCTGAATATAGACGCTTTCTTGAAGGTTACCTCTTGATTTGGAAAAGAATACCCAGCAAAATTGACTAAGAGCCTGTCAAATATTTAATTGTTCCCCAGACAGGAAAAATTGAGAAGTAGAATGCTGGAGTTTTTCTTCTAAGTCTCATGAAGTCATGTGCATCAAGACTATGAGTCTTGCTACATGTGGTACTTAACTCTTGGAAATTTACAATTTACTCTTCTTCCTTTTTATAAGAATGTGGTACTGCTAAAAAATAATTCTTTAAAAAGAAACATGGAGACTTATCAGCTATTTCATGGGACATGTGTTCTTTAAAGTGTGAATTCTACTAAAATTGCTGAAAGTTGTGATATATATGATAGACTCCAAATAATGGAGATTTCGATTAGATCATTGGAAATTCTGAATCTTCTAAGCTGGCTGTTGTCTTTTAGCTAATGACCTTAAACAGAAATTCAGAATTGCAAATATCAGGTTTCTTTGTTCGTGCCAGTAAGTCCCTTTGGGATTTAAGCCAGTGTGCCTTTAAGTGTGAATGTAAAGTAAGCTTGGAACCACAGCAGTGGGGCTGGGAAGAATGGCAGTTAGTTCCACAAGAAGTCCTGGCTTGGCTATTGTGTTTATATCTTTGAGAAGGACACATTTCTACTGGATTTAGGTAGTGGCTGAGCACCAAGAGAAATAAAGTATCATTATGGAATTTATGTATATATAAAGTATAGTACCCCCCCTGTGGTATCACTTTCTGTGGTTTCCATTACCTGTAGCATACCCCCTATCTGGAAATAATACATGGAAAATTCCAGAAATAATCTATAATTTTTATATTACATGTAATTCTGAGCAGCACAATAAAATCTATGTGAGTCCTGCCTAGGATGCGAACCCATGCTGTGTGTGCTGCCTGCTGTTAGTCACATAGTGGCTGTCTCTGATACCAGCTCAGCTGTCATATAGTATCCTGGGTGCTTGTATTCAAGCAGTGCTAAGACTGTTTAACAACGGCCCAAAGCACAGGAGTAGTGATGGCAGCAGTTGATTATAATTTTCTTATTATTGTTAATCTTTTACTGGGCCAGTTTACAAACTAAATTTTACTATAGAGGTGTGAATACAGCAAATTCAGGATTTGGTGCTAATTGATTTTTTTTTTTTTTTTTTTTTGGTTTTTTTGAGACAGGGTCTTCCTGTAGCCCCAGCTGGCCTGGAACTCACTATGTAGATCAGTCTGGTCTTGAACTCACAGAGATCTGCCTGCCTCTGCCTCCCAAGTGCTGGGACTACAGGCGTGCACCACCACATCTGGCTGTGACTGTATTTTAATAACGATTTTTAAAATGCTCTTAGACTTTCCACAATCAGTAGTACTTTTGAATGCCTTTTGTGTATTTTGTTTTTAAGGTTCATTTTTATTTTTTAATTATGTGTATGTGTGTGTTGGGAGGGAGGGAAGCAGGTGCCCACAGAAGCCAGAGATAACTCAGGAGCTGCAGTTAAGGCAGTTAGGAGCTACCTGATGTGGTTGCTAGGAATTGAACTCTCGTCCTCTGCTCTTAACTATTAAGCCATCTCTCCAGCCCAGGTTTTTGTTTTCTAAAGTTAAGTTCTCATCATGTAATCCAAGGTGACCCTAAACTCATTATGTAGCCTTCTGCCTCTGTCTCTCAATTGTTTTCCTTCATTGAAGGTAACTAAACAATAACCAAATGCCTATTCCCCAGGAAAGGGAAATGTAGTCTTTGGCATACTTTCCTATTCCATGAATTTAGGGCGTCAGCTTACTATCAAAGCAGATTTTATTATTTTATTATTTTTTTATTTTTAGACAGGGTCTCACTATATAACCCAGAACTTGTTATGGCTAGCCTTGAACTAGCAGAGATCCGCCTGCCTCTGCCTCATGAGTGCTGGAATTAAAGGTGTGTACCACCACACCTGACCAAAGCAGAATATTTTTTAGTGAAAGTATAAATATCTTTTGTTTTGGGGTTTGGGTGGTGTTTTATTTTGAGACATCTTCTCATATTATAGCTCAGCCTCAAATTTGCAGTGCTCCTTCTGCCTCAAGTTTTAGAGTACTGGTATTAGAAGCATGAGCCATCACATCTGACTTAAATACTTGTTTTCAAGATTATAGAGAATAAGTGTTAAAATGTCTGTTGTTATTAACATTTTTATTGCAGTGTTGGGGAATAAACCCAGGGCCTTGTGTATGCTGGGCAAGTCCTTGATCATCACTGAGCTACATCCTAGCTAGGCATCTATTAGTAGCTTTTTTGAATAATTTTTTCTTTCGCCCTCTCCAATTATCACATATGCCCAGAGCAAAATGAAGTCTATAACTTTATCAAATGCTTCATTGAAATCTTCTCTGGTGTGTCTGCAAGACAGGAAATCGGGCAAGGTGATGATTTGTTGGGTAAATGCATAACTGGTTTGATAACTGGAGTGCTGATTAATGTCACTCTGAAGGAAGTTTCTGAGAGTATGCCGAAGGATTGTCTCCTCAGCCTTAATGTCTCTTTTGTTGGAGATACATACAACAGGCTTATCAAACCTTTGGGTAATACAGAACTTAGAGTAACTGTATTTCAGATTTGCTCTTCTCTTTTTAAAGCTCCGACCACTTTCCTGCTCTTCAGTCAAAAGAGTGCCATCAACCGCATGGTGATTGATGAACAGCAGAGTCCTGACATCATCCTTCCTATCCACAGCCTTCGGAATGTCCGGGCCATTGACTATGACCCTCTGGACAAGCAGCTCTATTGGATTGACTCACGACAAAACATGATCCGAAAAGCACAAGAAGATGGTAGCCAGGTAATTCAGGCTTAATTCAAAATCCATTTCTGGCTAGTAAGTGGACTAACCATCAATACTGCTAACATTGGACTCTACCTATATGTGAAACTGACCTCTAGGGCTAGTAGTTTTCTTTGACTTCTCAGAGCAGTTTATACTCTGAGTAAATGATTATTTGATGATGGTATTGAGTTGGAAATTGTGTTGGGAGAACTAGCTCATAAATAGAAAATGACTGTCACTGCTGGTCACATCCATTCACACTGTCTTTTTCATTATGGTTCTCATCATATGGAGCCTTACAAATTTTGAAATCAGTAGGCCTTAGTTCTGATCCCAGCTTTAGCACTCACTGTGATGCCTAGAACTTCCTTAGTTGAAAGGAATGCAAGACACAAAGCCCTTACCTGTTAAATGGTAGGAATTTTATAAATAATACTTATATTACTAGCTATTATTTAAAAGATCCATAGAGTGGGAAACATAAAATCTTAGTAAAGTTGAAAATATTGAGGATATGCTATTGATTTGGTATTTCTTGGTAAATAAACTTAATGATGTGGGGTGAAAATAAGGATGTTACCAGTCTTCTCTGCCTGCATACAGCCATGGACTCCATACTATTAGTCTTACTTACTTACTTACTTACTTACTTTCTGGGTTTAATCGGTGTAAGACTAGGATTGCAATAACTGGTTGTTTTTTGTCTTCCTTACAGCAAACTGTTAAATTGGATTTTGAATGCATTAAAATTTAAGGAGATTAGATCACTGAGTTTTGCTCTGTCTTACCATACAGGTATATTTAGGGTGGCTGAGGGGTCATTTAGCATGTGACCATACTTTGAACTCCAGCTGTGCCTTGTACTATGTGAGTTCAAGGCCAGCCTGGTCTACATAATGAGTTCAAGGGCAGCTGGGGCTAGAGAGAGACCCTGTCCCAAAAAGACCAAAAAAAAAAAAATTTATACAGCTAAAGACATGGCAGATGAATTAAGTAACTTCATTAAAGATACCGTTTAACAAAATTTATTTAAACAGAGCAGATAGACAAATTTACTCTTGTTTGGGCTTTGTAAGAAAAAAAAAAAAAAAAAAAAAAAAAAAAAAAAAAAAAAAAAAAAAAAAAAAAAAAAAAAAAAAAAAAAAAAAAAAAAAAAAAAAAACGAGTTAAATTTTTTTTTTTTAAATTAGACATCATAGTATAGGCCAGCATTCAGGAAGGAAGATTGCAAAGTGCAGGCCAATTTGGGATATATAATAGTAAGACCCTACGTCAAAGAAGTTTTTTGTGTGTGTGCATCTGTGTATTTTAGAATCAAAGAAGGAGATGATTGATCGATTGATTGACTGACTAACTGACTGACTGATTTGATTTGTAGCCCTAACTGGTTATTTTTTCTAGAGAAGGGTTTTACAAACTTGGCTCTGTTCACATTGAGGGCTGGATAGTCTTTGTTTTGTAGGCTGCACTGTACATTATAGGATGTTTAGCATTGCCCTTGGTCTCTACCCAATAGAGGCCAGTAATATTCTCACAGTCATGATAGTCAAAATGTCTGCAAACGTTGTCAAATGCCTGTGGTGTACATCACACTTAAGAACCACTGCCCAAGAGGTATTTTCTAGGGTGTGATTCTAGCCAAGATTGTTTACAGTTAATGGGAGAAAGCTCTCACCTTCTCAGTCCCTTCTCTATTCAAGGCATTGACAGGTTTGTGGAGGAACTAACTTGTCCTCAGTCCCCTCTTCTATCCCAGGTCATAGTAGCCCAAGGGGACAGTTGAAATATGTGTTAACAAGCAAGGACATTACTCATAAAAATTCTTATTTATAAAAATGTCCCTAGCTGGGCGTGGTGGCGCACACCTTTAATCCCAGCACTTGGGCAGCAGAGGCAGGCGGATCTCTGTGAGTTCAAGGCCAGCCTGGTCTACATAGCGAGTTCCAGGTCAGCTGGGGCGACAGGGAAGACCCCCTGTCTCAAAAAGACCAAAAAAAAAAAAGTCCCTGAAGACTTGGAATTCTTCTGAGGTATGTGATGACACAATTGTAAGAATTGTGATTATTGCATAGTTTGTTGGTATGGAGTCTAACTGTGTTTCTTTCCTTTCTTTAGGGTTTTACTGTAGTTGTAAGCTCAGTTCTGAATCAGAACCTAGAAATACAGCCATATGACCTCAGCATTGATATTTATAGCCGCTATATCTACTGGACTTGTGAAGTGACCAATGTCATCGATGTAACAAGATTAGATGGGAGATCAATTGGAGTGGTTCTAAAAGGCGAGCAAGACAGACCTCGAGCCATTGTGGTAAACCCAGAGAAAGGGTATGCTACTAAGCCACAGTTGGAGGCTTTGCATTTGATACCCTCTCTTCAGTCCATTTTCTTTCTTTCCTTTGTCCCTTCCAGTGTTCTGTGCCCCAGTGGACAACTCTGCTTAATGGTTTCTATCCACTTGGCACTGCATTTTCTTACAGCATTCTTGTGCTGTGTCTGATTTTACTGTCCAGAGTTTCTTTCATTGGTTTAGTTCTAAATTCCACCCATACCTCTAAGACCATCTTACTGCCACATCTTCTATGGCTTTCCTTGATCTCCTTTTCCAGCCAGGAGCGATTCTCCCCTCTTGGTACCCAGCTCTGTGCTTTCTCCTTTCCAGTTTGCCTTATACTGGTTTTCAGTTGTATATTTCTTAATAGTCCTTGGGCTCCATTGTGAAGAACAAATATGTTGTGTGTCATTTAATACAGAGCTCTGCATTTAATAAAAATTCAATACTTAGCTACATCTGAATGAATGATAAATTAGCAGGGAAAATGGCCTGCTTCAAGAATTATGGCCTCCTTCAAGAAAAGGGATGGAACCTATAAGTTAAATATAAAAAATAATTCATACGTCCCATTTTTAGTCATTAAAAAGATTAACTGATTAATAACTTTAAAATTTGTGCCTGGAGCTGGGCGTGGTGGCGCACACCTTTAATCCCAGCACTTGGGAGGCAGAGGCAGGTGGATCTCTGTGAGTTCAAGGCCAGTCTGGTCTACATAGTGAGTTCCAGGACAGCTGGGGCTGCAGGGAGACCCTGTCTCAAAAAGACCAAAAACCAAAAAAAAAAATTTGTGCCTGGATCTCTTGGGCTATTGATTTTAAAAGAATTCATAAAGTTTATTTTTATTGTTTATGAATTTTTGCCTGCATGTATATAATTGTGCCCAGGTCATACAGTGCCTGCAGAGGCCAGAAGATGCTGTCAGATCCCCTAGAACCGACATTACAGAGGATTGTCAGCTACCATGTGGGCACTGGGAACCAAACCCAAGTCTTCTGCAAGAGCAGCCAGTGCTCATAACCACTGAGCCATCTCTCCAGCCTTGGCCATTGATTTTTAATCTCTGGGCTTTAGCTCCCTGAGAATTGTGCCCTTTGTTATGATTATCAAAAGTAGCAAATATATCCCATGACCTTTTTAAAAAATACATTATTGTTTTTTGGTGGGGAGTGAGCCGATTGGTAGATGCTCTAGTTTCAGATAGGAGTGAGAAGTTTTGTGTGCTGGTGGATAGTAGGAGTCTGTAGATAGTGATTGCATAGAATATCCCTAAAAGCTAGAAGCAAGAACTTTGAACATGTTCACCGTAAATGCTAATTGGTTGAGGAGATAGATTATATTTAACCTAATTACACAATGTATATATATATTACATTAAACCAGCACATTACTCCATTGATACATATAATTTTTGTGTTTTGTGCATAAGCTTAAAAGGTTTTAAATAGATTTTTGCATATATCTTGTTTTATTTTTGTGTGTCTGTGTATGTGGACCCAGGGCTTTGGACATGCTAGGCAAGTGCTCTCTCATTGAGCTGTATCCCCAACCCTTTATCTTTATCTTAGCAAGAATATTTTTGTTTTATGTGGCTCTTCAGTAATTTTAAATTCTCTTCTGTATCTTCAGGTATATGTATTTTACCAATCTTCAGGAACGATCTCCCAAAATTGAGCGTGCTGCACTGGATGGAACAGAACGGGAGGTCCTCTTTTTCAGTGGCTTGAGTAAACCAATTGCTTTGGCTCTTGATAGTAAGCTGGGCAAGCTCTTCTGGGCTGATTCTGATCTCCGGCGAATTGAAAGCAGCGATCTTTCAGGTACCCAAGAAGTGTTTCTGTTCTTTGAGTTTTAAGATGATTCACAGTAGTATTTGTATCTTTCTTGTGTTGGATTATTGTCTGTGTATTTATAATTTTGTTCATTAAATGTAGTCAGCATCAAGTTGGTTGGGGAAACTGTTGACTCCCTTGGTTATCCAATTATTTGCCAGTTTTATTATCTGTAAATAATGCATCTTGTCTCCCTTTCTAATTCTCCTGTTCTAGTTTATGTTCTTGTTCTCTGAACTCCAGTCTATGATTGCTCTCTCTGCCCAGTTTTCCTCATGAAATTGGCATGCATAAACTTTAGCAAACTTAATTACACACACGCAAAGATTTTTCTGAAGTATGGCTCCTGATATTACTTCTTAAATCTTCAAAGTAGTCTCAACCTAAGAAAAAAGGCTAGTTGTACATGTCACTTGGTTTAACTTGGTGTTCACTGTTCACAAACACATCACCTTCACATTCTTTGTATTTTAATCAAATAAAATTGTTTTTTGAACTGGGCGTGGTGGCGCACGCCTTTAATCCCAGCACTTGGGAGGCAGAGGCAGGCAGATCTTTGTGAGTTCAAGGCCAGCCTGGTCTACATAGTGAGTTCAGGTCAGCTGGGACTACAGGGAGACCCTGTCTCAAAAAGACAAAAAAAATTGTTTTTTGATCTTAAGTTACACTTTGTTCTTCTGTAGTCACTCTGTCTGTGGTCATATCACCACCTCTACCCTAATTCATGGTGTCTTGATTCTCTGGGGCCTCCCTCGTGATCAGGAAAAATGAAACTGATGTAATACACTGTTTATATTTGTTAGAGTGACAAAAATACATTAAAGTTTATCATACCTAGCACTTGCTAGAATGATTAAAAAATAACAATCTCCTAAGGGTGAGTATGCAGCTCAGTGGTAGAACACTTGCTGAGCTTGTACTGTGTGTTTTCTCTCCAGCACCACAAAACTCAAAAAGCTCTCACGTGCTTTGGTGAAAATAGAATTGATAGAACTTTTAATAGAGGATAGTTTGCCAATAATTAAAGGAGACATAGCCTTTGATTTGTCAATGTCCCTTTTAGATGATTGTCTTACAAAAACACAGGGTATTCACTAAACGTTATTTATGATAGTCTTTCCTATGTGTCACTATGGGGAATGTCCATACACAGGTGCCAAGAATCAGAATGCAACCGATTATGACTAGTAATAATCAGATACATACAGATTAGAGACACATGTGCCAAAATCTCAGTGTTACTAGCAAAAACAATGAGTCTTTCTGTAAGAAACAGTATATTTTAAAATGAAATAGAGATCTTTTTTAAAGGTTAAAACCTCATTCAATTTTATGTCTTATATGCTTTTTACTGAGTTCAATATTGTATAACTGCATTAATTCAAATGTGAACCTAAAATTTTACAGCCAATATTGAAAGAGATGAATCTTTGCTCTGAAAATAGTTATTTATTTGCTGTAATGAAATGTTTCTTCTAATCATGTGGTTATTAAATAAATAATTTTTTAAAATATGTATAAAATCTCTTCTGTATTGGCTGGGAATTTGCATTTCTTTTGTGATTTGTTGTTCATAGCCTTTCTTTTTTTGTTAAGTCTTGTTCTGTTGTTCAGGCTAGCCTCAAACTTGTAGTCCTCTTGCCTGCCTTTGCCTCCTGAGCAATTGGGTTTGCAGATGTACACCACTGTACAGCTGCCATTTTTCTTTTAGTTTCTAGAAATTTTTATGCATTCAGAATATTAATTCATTGTTATAGTATATATGTTAGAGGATTTTTCCATTGCTTTGAGGTATAACTTTTATTATATATGAGACTTTTGGCTGAAGATGTAGCTCAGTGGTAGAACTCTTGCCTAGTGCGAATGAGGCCCTGGGTTCAATCTCAAGTACCACATGCATCATAGGAAATTCTTACACACACAAGGCTGTCTCTTTCCTGTATGTGCTGCAGCACTCCTGCCTCTGCTCTGAGTAGTTCTGTCCTCCTGTGCGTGTCCCAGTGCTTCCTTTGCATCACTGTTCTTGCGCTTTGAGGCCATGGGTTGTTGACAGGTTAATCCTTACCTTGGGGTGATGCTTGACTCAGGTGACCTATGAGTTGGTTATTTCTGTGTGTGCGGTTTTTTGGGGGAGGTGGGTAGGGCTTAGCAAGAGTGAAATTGTTCTTGATAGATGCCTCTAGTGTTTTTAGCAGGTGTGGGGGCCAAGCACAGAGGTCTGGGCTCACTACCACTGCTTCATCAAGAAAAAGCACCATTTTGATCTGCTTTGTTGTGTCCATTTTTTACAAAATGTAATTTGAAAAATGGATTCTGCTAAAAACAATTTCAACCTGCTGGTCAGCATTCTTTGTTACATTTCTGTGAACTAGAAAATTCATCGTATATTAAATTTACGCTTAGTTGTGCAGATATGTCTGGTTTATTATTTATTTTCTGGTGTAAATTTTTCCTCAGCCCAATGTTACGTTTTGTGGTATAGTTTTCATTTCCCATACTTTTAGAATCTGTTACTTTCACTGAATAGCTGTTGAAGGTCTGATTTGACCACATGAATCATTGCTGTTGAATGTTCTCCTTTTTCAAGGTGCCAATAGGATAGTGTTAGAAGACTCTAATATCTTGCAGCCTGTGGGTCTGACCGTCTTTGAAAACTGGCTGTATTGGATTGATAAACAGCAGCAAATGATTGAAAAAATTGATATGACTGGTCGAGAGGGCAGAACCAAGGTCCAGGCACGAATTGCCCAACTAAGCGACATTCATGCAGTAAAGGAACTGAACCTTCAGGAATACAGTAAGTGCAGGTGGACTAGTGCTAATTGGAGCACTTGTGTTTCTTGTAAGAAAAAAGATGTACTTTTATGTCTTTTTTTTTTTTTTTTTTTTAAACCTCTTCTCTATTGTGGGTTTTTTTTTTTGTCTTTGAGACAGGGTCTCCCTGTAGCCCCAGCTGTCCTGGAACTCACTATGTAGACCAGGTTGGCCTTGAACTCACAGAGATCCACCTGCCTCTGCCTCCCAAGTGCTGGGATTAAATGTGTCACCACGCCTGACTTCTGTTGTGGTTTTATATTTAGAAAAATACCTTCTTGTGATTTCTAGTAACATAAACAGAATTAGATATTTGTTTATCAGAATTATCATGAAGTCAGGTGAGATAGTACATGTACATGTATGTCTATAATCCAAGCATCCAGGAGTGGAGGCAGGAGGATTTCAAGTTTGAAACCAGATTGGGCTATATAATTAAACCTTATCCCCAAAACAAAACAAGGCCTGGGGACATCACTCAGTAGTAGAACACTTGCTTAACATCCACAGGGCCCTGCATTTGGGCCTCAGACTGCATGTTTGCATGAATGAATGAACAAATGATCGTGGACTTGAAAAACACCTCTTTGGTGTGTGCTCTGCTACAATAAGTTATGTCTCTTTGGGGCAGTCTGTTCCTTTATAGGTAGATGACAGCCTTGGTCTGTTGTACAAATTAATGCAGGATCCATGCTATTGTAGAAGAGAGTCAGATCATGGATGATGACAATAGATAATGATAGTTACATGTAACAACAAAGGTCAAGTTGCTCCTAACACAGGCTAAACCAAAAATTCAGAGCAGTAACTTTCAAAAGTACAACGTGTGAAACAGACTTTGAAAAGTTGCTTAATGTTTATCTTTTTAACTTCACCCAAGTTAACAGGAAATTAGACCTTTGTAATACTGCATGTTATCTTTGGCAGTTGAACAAACAATTTTGTCTGTCTCTGGTGTGGTTCATTCAGGTCCATGTAACTTTAACATTATTTTTATTCTATAACTTTAATTTTCCATAGTGTCTTCATTTAAGTATACTGTTTAAAAATGAAATAATTTTATTTTTTAGAAAGGTAGAATTTCTGGGCTAGAGGGATAGTGCAGCCTTTGTTAATGGCTAAGGCTAACAACCAAAAAATGAAAAGGTAGAATTTCTGAGTTTAAATCTTTAGAAAAGAATTCTCTTGTGGGGGAGTCATTTTTGAGACAGGGTCTCCCTGTAGCCCCACCTGGCCTGGAATAAAGGCGTGTGTCACCATATTCCACAAGAATTCTCAATTTTGTAAAAAAGAAACGTTTATTACTTTTATTTTATGAGTGTATTGCCTGCATGTATGTAAGTGAACCACGTGTGTGCAGTGCCCTGCAGAAGCCAGAAGAGGGAGTTGAATTCCCTGCAACTAGAGTTATGGATGGTTTGTTAGTTGCCATGTGGGTACTGGAAGTTGAACCTGGGTCCTCTGGAAGAATAGCAAGTGCTCCTAACTGCTGAGCTCTCTCTCCAGCCTCAAATTCTCAATTTTTATAATAGAATTAACTTATTAGCTATCAATGATTTCCCTAGCAGTTTTTCTAGCTCCTGTAATCATTTAGTTTTATTATTTATTTTTTCGAAACCAGGTTTTCTGTGTTGTTCTGGCTAGCCTGAAACTTGCTATGGTGATCCTTCTACCTCTGCTTCCTGAGTACTGGGATTATAGGTGTGTGCTACCACAACCCGCTAATAATTTCTTAATTGTTAAATTAGCATAAGCCTATTGTAATTAAAATATTTTATGCATTATCATGTTAGTGTTTTTTGTTGTTGGGATTTTTGTTTCTTTGTTTCTGTTTAGTTTAGTCCTGGGGATTAAACCTAGGGCCTCACTCATGTTAGGCAAGTACTCTTTAAGCTATATACCCCAGCCCTTGCTTAGAATATTTTTAAGTGGTATGAGAGAGAGAACATGCAAGATGTGATGGTACTGCTTTGTAGTCTCAAAAGTTGGAAAGCACACTGCAGAGTGAAGACTCCCGTCTCACCACCCCTGCCACACAGTGGTTGGTATAAATATTTTCTTAGGTTGTTTTGGGACAGAGTGAGGAATTATACTGTATGGAAATAAAGTCCAAATTCATTTTATATTTGATTTTCTAGGACAACACCCTTGTGCTCAGGATAATGGTGGCTGCTCACATATTTGCCTTGTAAAAGGAGATGGTACTACAAGGTGCTCCTGTCCCATGCACTTAGTTCTCCTTCAAGATGAGCTGTCCTGTGGAGGTAAAGACATTAAAATTTTTCTTGTGGGAACCTAAATGCCAACATATTCCTTACCATTCTCCAGCCTTCTATGACTAGGTGCTGAAGTGGCTCACTTGTGTCTGTTTTTTTGCATGTCTAGTACTAAGCTTGTGGATTTTGTTTATTTTCCTGTTCCCAAACATGTCCCTACTACCTCCTCCTCCAGTAACCACCACTTGAACAAACTGTTTCTGTGGGTTTGGCTTTTCTGCATTCCACATAAGTGAAATTATATCTTGTTTGCCATTTTGTGCCTTGCTTAGTTCACTTGACACATATTCTCTAGCCTCATTTGTGTCGTAGCAAATAATAGTGTTTCCTTTTTAAGCCAGGCAATATTTCATTATATGTGTATTGTGATATTTTCAGCCTGTGAGTTATATTTCCTAATAATACAGTAGTTTGCTTCCCTCCATGTAGGGTATTATGATGAATTCACTCTTCTCTTCCAAACTCCATGCATTGAATTCTGGATTCTCTCAGTGTAGGTGTCATTCTTGGGAGTATGTCCAGTGAAAAGAGTATTCTTATGCACAAATCCATCAGCATTTTCCTGGTGTTTTACTCATTTATCTAGCAAGAGAATACAAGGCAAAACAAACCAGAACAATGACAAAAACCCAGAAAACGATCTTTTTGTGTGCATTGTGTGTATGAGCTCATGCTCACATATATGTATTTGAGTGCAGGTACACGTGGGGAGGTCAGAAAACAACTTCAGGTGTTTGTTTTTGTCTTCTACCCCTGAGGCAGTGTCTCTCCTGTTCATCACTGTGTATGCACCAGGCTAGCTGCCCTGAAAACTTCTGGGAATTCTCCCATCTTGCCCTAGGAGTGCTTGGATTGCAGATGTATACTGCTATGTCTGGCTTTTTGTGGGTTCTGGGGATCTGATCTCAAATCCTCACGCTTGCATAACAAGAACTTTGCCCACTGAGCCATCTTCCCGGCATATAGTAACATTGTAGTGAAATTTGTTTAATCACTACTGAGACATAACAAATTGATATACTTCTTTGTTAAATCATAATATGGCAATATCAAGCATGATCATAAGGTTCATACTTTTAATTCAGAAGTTCTCTTCTTGCAGATAATTTGCAGTTAATTTGGTATTAAATTTAGGGTCTTACTGCATTTTAGGCACACACTCTCTCATGACTTATCACCAGCCTGAGTTTATACACTTACTAAATACTGTGATCCTGAGACTGATATTTTTAAAAAGTAGAAAAAAATATTTGATTTGTTTGTTTGCTTGTTTCTTTTGCAGTGCTGGGAATCACCCCCAGCCCTTGGTTTGACTCTTTAAAAAAATATATATATATTATATTTTACATGTATGAGTGTTTTGCCTATATGTACATAAATATGCTCATGCATGCAGTACCCTTGGAGGCCAGAAGAGGGTGTCGAATCTCCTGGAACTGGAGTTATAGGTGGTTGTTAACCACCGTGTGGATGCTGGGAACCCGAACCTAAATCCTCTGCAAGAGGAGTCAGTGCTCTTAACCACTGAACCATCTCTCTAGCTCCTGGTTTGAATTGTAAATGCTCCCCATTGGGGCCATGTGTCACCAGACTGGAATTGTTGGAATCTTTGGGGCTTTTTGACATGGAGTCTTGCTGTGTTGCCCAGGCTGGTCTCACACATATGAGCTTGAGTGACTCCTGTCACCCTCCCTAGGGGTGGGTACCACAGTGTGTGCCACTTTACCTGGCACAAAAACTATTACAGCGATATTTTCTTAATATTGTATTTTTTATTTTATGTATAAATGTAATGCCTGCATGTAGGTGGGTATACCCATGTTGTGCAATGCCTGTGGAGGTCAGAAGAGAGTGTCAGATCCCTTGGAACTGGAGTTACAGTTGTTAGCCACCATGTGGGGGATGGGAATCAAACCTGAGTCCTCTGCAAGAGCAGCCAGTGTTCTTAACCGCTGAACCATCTCTCCAGCCCCAATTATTTGTTGCCAGGAGTGTAGCTGAGTGGTGCAGCACTTTCCTAGCATATGTAAGGCCTTGGATTCTATCCTGAACACTGCAATTTCTTCAAGGATGACAGTTATAAAAAGTGACGTATTTCTGTAAACCAAGACTTAAAAGACAAGTATACTTTCACAGTATAAAAATTAGTAATAAAATGGAATTAGAGGTAAAATTTTGTCTTTCCGACTTTTAAGTTTTTAAAATAGGGACTGGAGAGATGGCTCAGTGGTTAAGAGCACTGGCTGCTCTTGCAGAAGACCCAGGTTCAATTCCCAGCACCTACATGGTGGCTAACATCTGTCCGTAATTCCAACTCCAGGGGCAGAGGATCCAACACCCTCTTCTGTCCTTTGTGGGCATTGCATGACATGGGTGCACTTATATACATACAAGCAGAACACTCATATACATAAAATAAAAATAATAAGCCAAAGAAAAAATTGTAATTAAATAATACATATATTGAATATCAGGAACTTGAAGTTTAAGGTAGTGCTTACAATGTTAGACTACAGAAGAGCTCCTGGTACATCAGATTGTAATACTGAGTCTCAAGAATTCTGTCATGACTGGGTGTGGTGGTGCACATCCTTCATTGGGAGGCAGAGGCAGAAGGATCTCTGTGAGGCAGCTAACAGCTGTCTGTAACTCCAGTTTCAGGGGAATCCAATGCCCTCTTCTGACCTCTGTGAGCATTGCATGACATCGTTGCACTTACATACAAGCAGGCAATACATTCATACATAGAAAAATAAAAATAATAAAATATTTTTTAAAAAGGAAGACGATAAGGAAATCATTGCTTGGCAGGAAGTACACACTTAAAATCCCCTCACTTAGATACACTGAAGCAAGAGGAGTGCAAGTTTGAGGCTAGCCTGGGCAATTCAGGAAGACTTTAATCTCAAAAAATAATTAGAAGTGGGCATGGTGGTGTACACCTGTAGTCCCAGCACTTGGGAGGCAGGGGCAGGCAGATCTCTGTGAGTTCAATGCCAGCCTAGTCTACATAGTGAATTCCAGGACAATTGTGGCTACAGGGAGACCCTGCTTCAAAAAGACAATAAGGGGCCAGGGGAGATGGATAATAAATAAAATAAATAAAAGATAAATAAAATTTTAAAGTCAAATCTTATACAGTATGGATGTATTTAATACTGCTGAACTGTATACTTTAAAACAGTCACTCTTAAAGTTTTTTATTACATACATTTTACAATTTTTTTAAAAAAAGTATTTCCATATAGAGTGTTAGACTGTTACTTTAAAAGACAAATCCTTGAGAAATTTCTCTTTATGTTAATCATATAGGTAAAACTCAATCAAGATCCCATCTTCCAATCAGATGTCTTTTAAAGGGCTTCTGTTCATATGTAGTGATTATTTTTATACGTATATTAAATAGATAGCAAAGTTTGGAAACTGTATATAACTGTTAACCATTATCCAAAACAAGGCTTGGTGTGGTACTGCACTTGGGAGATGGAGGCAGGAATTTATGAGCAGCCTTGGCTGCATAGTGATTTTAAGACCAGCCTGGTCTCCATGACACCTGCCTCAAAAACAACAACAAAATCCAAATGAATGAACAAACGGAAAGGAAGAGAAAGAAGAAAAATAAACCTTTTTAAACATACATGTGTATAATCCCAACACTGAGCTATATAATGTCCAGCCTGAGCTGTTTAGTGGGACACGTTCTCAAGCTTCCACTGGCAAGAACAAGAGAGAAGTGGAAAGAGGAAGGAAGTGGAAAGAAGGAAGCATTGCGTCCGTATCAGTTACTGCTTTAATAGAAGTAGATATTCTTCAGATTTTCCTCCCCACAGAGTTAGTATCTTGAATTTTACATCAATGAAATGATAACATATAATCATCTTCTTCCTCTTCCTCCTCCCCTTTTTTTGGGGGGGTGTATTTTTGAGATGGTTCCCTGTAGCCCCAGCTGGCCTGGAACTTGTTGTGTAGACAAGGCTAGCCTGGAACTCACAGAGACCTGCCTGCCTCCTGAGTCCTGGGATTAAAGGTGTGCACCACCACACCCAGTGACATGTAATTTTCTTGGTTCTCTTGCATAATGTTATTTTGGGCAGGGGGTCTTTTTGAGACAGGGTCTCCCTGTAGCCCCAGCTGTCCTGGAACTCACTATGTAGACCAGGCTGGCCTTGAACTCACAGAGATCTGCCTGCCTCTGCTTCTCAAGTGCTGGGATTAAAGGCGTGCACCACCACTCCCGGCTGCATAATATGTTTTTAGAGCCAGTGTCAGCACTGTTCTATTGCTGAGTCATATTTTACTATGTAACACTCTTATTTAGTTACTCTCCTGTGAGGAACAGTTGGTTTTTAATTTTTGATAAAACTTCAGTACACATCATATGGAGACTTTGCATTTAGCATTGATTCCACAATGGAGATAAATGAAGTCTAAAATCTAAACCTCTTTATCTGGCTTTTAAAACATGATTTCTTTTGAACCTGTCTTACCTATCCATCTTATTGATGCCCACTATGGCATATTCTGTTTTGTTTTGCTGTGTCTTGTGCTATTACAAAATGTCTTGGATACTATCCTAACCTCACTCCTTTTTTCTCAAGGTGCTTGTAGGGTCCTTGTGCTCTGAGAGACCTTGACAAGCTCCTTTGCCTTCCCATCCTTTGATTGCAGCATTTGGTACCAGTTAGCATGTCACACAGTTTAGAGTTTGTGGTCAGTTGTTTTGCACTTACTGCCTGTCCCTATCTTAACCAATGTGATCTATGTTTTCAAGAACATAGATCATATTTTATGCTTTTATATTCTTCACACAATCCAGTATAGTTGTTGAATTGATGAGCTCCAGGTCTAGTGAGAGATCCTGTCTCACAGAATAAGACAGAAAGTAATAGAGGAAGATGCCTGCCATTGACTGCTGCTCTGCACACAACATATTCCCACATAAACATGTACATCTTGAATTGTATACTAAACAGTGACAAGTACCGGTTTCTTACAGGTTTGGTTGTAACATCGAATTTAAAAAACATTTATTTATTATACTAAAATATACTTAAGTGTATTAAGCTTGTCTAGCACGTGCAGACTCCTGAGTTCAATTACCAGAAGCACATTGCATAGAGACTGATGTAGCTATGTATGATATCATGTACCTGGAGTACCAGTTTAAGCTACTTGAAAGGCTGTGAATTACATGAGCCCAGGAGTTCAGGGCAGCAGAGAAGCATGACACCCTAACTCAGCAAAGCAGGGGTGGGGGAAGTGTGTGTGCTGAGGAGACAGCACATAGGTAAGAGCACTTGCTGCTGCATGAGGACCTGAGTTAAAATCCCAAGTACCCATGTAAAAAATAGATAAATGAGAGCTGAGCATGTGTGCCAGATACTTTAATACCATGTGTAAAGAGATACATGCCCTTGAAAATATATCTTAACCTTAGTGCTGTGGTGGAGGAAGGGGAGCAGGAGGGTCACTGGGGTTTCTGACTGCCAGTCTAGCTCCAGGTTCAGTGGGAGACCTTATCTCAAGTGGGCTGTCCAGCACCCTCCTCTGACCTATACTTATAATATACACATGCGTGTATCACACACACATGCATGCGCACGCACATACACCCCCTGAGAAAGAAAGAAGAGAAAGCTGTGTGTGGTAGCTGATGCCTGTAAACCCTGTACTTGGGAGAATGAGGCAGAAGATTACTATGAATTTGAGGCTGTCTTGGGCTATAGAGTGAGACCTTGCCTCAGCCTCCCCCCACATACACTCAGGTGTTGATTTTTGGTGTTAAGACATGTCTCCATGTACCATCTGATCTAAACTTGAGATCCTTTTCTCTCTATTCCCCTAGCTACCAGAATTGTACATGTTCACCTCCATGCCCAGCAGTGCTATTTTATTCTCAGTAAATCGTTTATATGGCATAATTTTATAGTCTTATAAATTATTCTTTTGGAAGCATGAGAATTTTCTAGGTCTTCTGATTTTGACCTATTTCATTATATATACAATATCAAAACATCATATTTTTAAATGGTTTTGGGGGGGATTGGGGTTGAGACAGGCTCTCCCTGTAACCCCAGCTGGCCTTGAACTTTGTATATCTCACAGAGATCCATCTGCTTCCCAAGTGCTGGGATTAAAAGCGTGCACCACCACACCTGGCTACATTCTTTAATGTTAATACCCCTCATCAGAAAAATTTTCGGTTGCTTGTAATCTGTGAAGTTGCAGTGTTGGATAAATTTCGTTGAAAGTTCCAGTTTTATAATTAGCAACAAAAGTCAACCTTTTAAAAAAAAATTTCCCAATTCCTGCCAATACTTGAGTATAAATAGCTATTATTTATCTTTGGTCATTTTTCCAGGTAAAAATAATATTCTAATTTGATTTATGTTTACAACAAACAGATACATACCTGTTATAGTTTGTTTCTTCATTGCTGTGACAAAATACTCTGACCAGTACCAACTTGGGGAGGAAAGGGTTTATTTGGCTTTCATTTGAGTCACAGTTCATCAGGGAGCCCAAGGAAGGAACTCAGGGCAGGAACTTGGAGGCAGGAGCTGGAGCACAGGCCATGGAGGAACACTGCTTACTGGCTTTCTCGCTGGCCTGTGCTCAACTTGTTTTCTTATACAATACAGAACCACTTGCCCACTTCTTATGCAATATTTGTACCACTCACAGTGGGCTAGGCCCTCCTACATCACTCAGAAATCAAGAAGATGCCCCACAGACTTGGCCACAGGCCAGTCCAATAGAGACAGTTCTCCAATTGAGGCTCCTTCAATACAGGTATGTCAAGTTGACACTAAAGCTATCCAGCATAATACCCTTTAAAAACTGTCATGGTTAGGTGTGCAATGTGAGCTTTATACATACCTCCCCATTTCAACAATGTCGAAGAGATAAATACTCAGGAGTTGATTTTATTATAATTAGCATTTTTAAAATTAATTCTTCATGAACTCTTTGTGTGTGTGTTTTTAGAGACAGGTTTTTCCTGTAGCCCCAGCTGACCTGAAACTCATTATGTAGCCCAGGCTGGCCTTGCCCTCAGAGAGATCTGCCTGCTTCTGCCTCCCAAGACCTGGGATTAAAGACGTGTGAACATTTTTCTTTCTATAATTTGAGACAAGATCTCAGGTAGCCTAGGTTGGCCTTCAAACTCACTGTGTGGCCAAGGATGACCTTTTAATTCCTATCCTTCTTCTACCTCCAAAGTGATGGGATTACAGGCCTGTACTACCAGACCTAACTTCCATCATCAAACATTCTTAAGTGAACTGACCTTTTTGTTTCTTAAAGCTGTGAGTTTGTGGCTGTGTAGGTTCAGTGATTCCTTTCTTGTACTGTTCGGTACAGTTGCCTTGAGTTTAAGGTGCCAACAGTTTTACCACTGTTCATTCCTTTTATAGCATTAGTGAAACAAAGCAAATGTCATCTTAGAATTACTATGAAACAGTTCTCACCTGGTGGGTCTCCTAAAAAGAAGTAGCAAGGATCCTTAGGGCTTATAAGCCAGCTTTTGAGAACCTTGGAGCTATAAAGCATAATGTTCTACTCTAACTTTAAAATTGTTGGACGTTGGTGACCACAGTGCTGTTCCTAAGTTGTGTATGAGATCAGAATGGTCATGGGTATTCTAGTCCTGCACAGATTAGTCATGAGAAAACTTCACCATGCCTTTATAGGTCAGTGAATCTGGAGGACTATGATTAGATGAGGTAGTTTACAAATCAGACTTAGTAAAAAATGTTGTGTATTTTTAATGAGCAGCATCACTGGCTGTAAATGTTTGTACCACTGTGTGACCACTGTTCTTTTTGTCACTTCCCTCTCTTTGTTCATTTGAAGAACCCCCAACGTGTTCTCCTCAGCAGTTCACTTGTTTCACTGGGGAAATTGACTGCATCCCGGTGGCTTGGAGGTGTGATGGATTCACTGAATGTGAAGACCATAGTGATGAACTCAATTGTCCTGTATGCTCAGAGTCTCAGTTCCAGTGCACCAGTGGACAGTGCATTGATGCTGCCCTTCGATGCAATGGTGATGCAAACTGCCAGGATAAATCAGATGAGAAGAACTGTGAAGGTATCCAGAATTCTCAGTGCTTGCTTGGATAGCCTTTTTTTTCTTTTTTAATATTTTAATTTTTTATGTGCAGGAGTGTCTTGCCTGCATGTATGTGAGTGCACCCGTGTCATGCAATACTGCAGAGGTCAAAAGAGGGCTTCAGATTCCCCTGGAACTGCAGTTTAAGGATGGTTCATAGCCACCATGTGGGTGCTGGGCATGGAACCCGGGTCCTCTGCAAGAGCAGTCAGTGCTCTTAACTGCTGAGCCATCTCTGCAGCCGGGATAGCCTTTTTTTCAAGTTGTGTAACAACTTCAGTATATTACTTGGGCTCAAGAGGAGACTGGGATTTTATATTAGACTACATCATAAACGTTATACCACATTGTTAATTACTTAAATCATTTCATATGTATAATTTCTGTGCAGATTCATGTGTTCATTTTGCTACTGTAATGAAATACTTGGGCAGTGGTTGTCTTTGTAAAGAAGTTTATTTAGCTCACGGGTCTGGAATGTACTTAGAAAGCATCTTTGACTCTTGGTAGAATTCATTTTTATGTGATGGTAAAAATAAAACTTTTTTTTTTTAGTGCTTTGTTTAATTGATCAGTTCCGTTGTGCCAATGGTCAGTGTGTTGGAAAGCACAAGAAATGTGACCATAATGTGGACTGCAGTGACAAATCTGATGAACTGGATTGTTGTAAGTAGGAAGAAAGCCTTGTAAATTTCATGTGTACGAGTGTTATGTCTGCATGTATATAAGTGCACCCGTGTCATGGAGTGCCGGAGGAGGACAGGAGAGGGCATCCGAACTCCTGGACCTGGAATTTTGGACAATTGTTATATGCCATGTGGGTGCTAGGGTTCAAACCCAGGTCCTCTGCAAGAGCATCTAGTGTTCTTAACCACTGAGCCGTCTCTCCAGGCCACTCCCCTTTTTTTGAGATTTATTTTTAATTATGTGTGGGTGTGTAGGTATGTGTACTCACACATGAGTGCAGTTGCCCTCAGAGGCCAGAGGCATTGGGTACTCCTGAAGATTGAGTTACAGCAGGTGTGAGCCACTTGATGTAGGTGCTGGGAACTGAACTTGAGTCCTCTATAAGAATAGTAAGTGCTCTTACCTGCTCAGCCATCTCTAGCCCACTAATTTTTGTTTTTAATTTAAATAAGATTATTATAATAATTTTTAATAAACACACACTTTACAGCTTGCCACAGGCCCTGTCAGTCTTTATTGTTCTAAACTAGACTACGTCATATATTACCTCCTTCACCTCTGGAATCTGGGAGAGGGAGATGGCAGATGGTGGTAATGATGGGTTCAGTTTGGGATTTGTTACATTAAAGATAACTATGGGCTATCCCATTAATGCTGTTAAGAAGTTATTGATCATCTGGGTCTGTGGCTCAGGAAGGTGTTTTGGTACCCACCAGTTTATTAATGATAATTAAAGCTGTGGCAGTAGATGAAATCTCCCAAGAGAATAGAGGAGGAAACGAAGATTGTACTAGTACTCAGGGAAACACCCACAATTCTGTATCACAGAAATAGTAAAACTGAGTGGGGTATGATGGTGTACACTGTGATACCAGCACTTTGGGATCAGGGCTTCCAAGTACAGCTTCAGCTACACAGCAAGCTTGAGGTAGCCTGGGTTATTTAAGACCCTCTTTCAAAAATAGTATTTTAGGAAGATATTGGGTAGATATTTTTTAAAAGAAAACAGGAGCCAGCCATATCGAATGTGTAGAGGTCTATAGAATGAAGAGTGTTGGACATGGCAGATAGGAGAGCTCTGACCTTTGCCAGGGTTGTTTCCCTGCAGTGGTGGGACAGGAATGTCAAGAAAAAACTTTCTTGAAGCTTGACATGGGAAAGGAATACCAAGGCACTCAAGGGAATAAAAAAGACTGTTGGTGGCCAACAGGGACTGAAGAGAGTGTTGTCTCAGATTCCAGACCAAATTTGTAGCTCATAGCCCTGACAAGGCAACTTGGTGCTGTCAGTGTTACTCTGTTCTTACCCTATCTGAGATGAGTTCATTAGCTAGGTGGATGGGAGATTTGAGTAACAGGGATCAGGTGATGTTTTAAAGGATCTTCCTTGGGAGATTGTTTATAAGGTTAGCTAGTTAGAATTTTCCTTCTGAATAAGGTGGGCTCTAAATTTGATAACCAACTTGCTCTTTCTCTTTCTGTTGATGCCTTCTGCTTCTCAAAGACTCAGATAGCCCAGGAATCTGGGAAGGTGGGTTTCTTGGACAGGATCCTCCTGTAGGGCACTGGCCTTCCACCATAATCAAGTTAGAGACCTGTGTCCTTGCTCTCAGGCAGGACCTGAAAACAGCAGTAGTCAGATCCAAGAGTCTAGTCTCATCTGCACCTCTGTTTCCTCCACTTGGCCCAAACACCACTGTTGAAGTCTTAATGCTAAAATGTGTTCCAAACTTCCTTTGGCCTTCTTCACCATTCCAGTGGAAACATTTGGTGACTTTTCTGGGTCCATCCCGTCTAGCCTAAGATTTTCCCCGAGATTCCAAAATAACTTGTCAGTTTTTATGATACACAGAGTGAAATCGGTTTTAGCTTCAGCTTTTTAGTAATGTTTAAGTCAATATTTCACTTATCATTGGTTTCTGGTAATTTACAATGATGTCTGTTGTCTTGTCTTCACTTAACAATAGTTTATTTAAATCCCATATGATACCATTTAATTCTTTTTTTTTTTTTTTTTTTTTTTTTTTTTTTTTTTTGTCTTTTTGAGATGGTGTCCCTGTAGCCCCAGCTGGGCTAGAACTCACTTTGTAGACCAGAGTGTCCTCAAACTCACAGAGATCTGCCTGCTTCTGCCTCCCAAGTGCTGGAATCACAGGCACACGCCACCACACCTGGCTCTTAATTCATATTTTCAATGATGTCTTTGTCTTCATGTAACAGTAGTTCATTTAAATCCCATATGCCATTTAATTGATAGCTTCATGTGGCGTGGCATATATGCATTTATAAAAGAAAAGTATGAGACTGGCAAGATGGCTCAGAAGTTAAGAGCACTGGCTGTTCTTGCAGAGGACCTGAGTTTGAGTCCCAGCACCCACATGGCTGCTAACAACTGTCTGTAACTCCAGTTCCAGGGGATCCAGTGCCCTTTTCTGACCTCCACAGGCATTACACAACATGGGTGAACTTATACACATACAGGCAGTATGCTCATACACATAAAAAATATGTTTGAGTTATCAATATAAATTTATACCTTTGCATTCTGTTAGGAAGCCCTCTTTTATTGCTATTTTGAATGGAGAGTTGTTTTTCCATTAGATAACTATACAGTGTTTGCTATTTTAGATCCAACTGAAGAGCCAGCACCACAGGCCACCAATACTGTTGGTTCAGTTATTGGAGTAATTGTCACCATCTTTGTGTCTGGAACCATATACTTTGTCTGCCAGAGGCTGCTCTGTCCACGTATGAAGGGAGATGGGGAAACTATGACCAGTGACTATGTGGTTCACGGGCCAGCATCTGTGCCCCTCGGCTATGTTCCGCACCCAAGTTCTCTGTCAGGATCTCTTCCAGGTGAGCTAAGACCAACTTAATGAGAATTGTCCAGTCTTGGGTTCTAACAAGATAATTAAATTTCTATCATGAAGAAAGGATATATCTAGGATTACAAACTAGATTACTTTCAGTTTAGACAATTGTGAGAACAATTTTTTTTTTTTAAGTTTTACATGTTCTCTTTGTGCCAAAGACCTTTAGTATAATGTGTTGGAAAATGCCAAATAAAATAAATAAATAAAGCAAACACATCTGCCAGCTCAAAGCCAGGGCTTTGGTGAGCACTTACAATTTCTTTAATTTCACCATTGGGAACCCTGGGGCCATTCAACTCTGGAATAAAAGGAATCTAAAAATAGATAAGCTGCAGGGTGTGGTGGTGCAAGCCTTTAGGCGGATCTCTGTGAGTTCGAGGGCAGCCTGGTCTCCATAGCTAATCTAGGCCAGCTAGGGCTACAGGAAGACCCTGTCTCAAAAAGACCAAAAAAAAAAAAAAAAAAAAATAGATAAGGTTTCCTTCCACAACCAGCTTGGTAGTAGCTTGGATGACAAGGAAGAGGTATACTGTGTGCCGTTTCCTGATCCAGCATGGTGACAGTGGGGCAAGGTTGGCTTAGGTATAGCAGTTCTTCTACTCTTAGGCAGGCATATCACTCTGTAGACTTTTTCTCAGTGTTTTGTGGTGCCTTTAGTAAAAGGAAGCCTGCGTGTGTGTGTGTGTGTGTGTGTGTGTGTGTGTTTGTTTGTTTGTTTGTTTGTTGAGGCATAGTGAGATCCTGGCAATGAGAGCTGGCCAGGATCTCACTATGTAGTCCAAGCTGGCCTTGATCCCACAGAGATCCAAGTACTGGGTTTCAAGGTGTGCACCACCAAACCTGGCTCAAGAAGCCTGCCCTTTAATGACTATAGAGAAGGAGATGGCTGGCCAGGCCAGAGACCTCTGAAAGTGGGAACGCTGGGTGTGACTCTTAAGTAAATAGATGTAATAGTTAAGCTGCTAATGATAATGTTTTCTTGTTGCCATACAGTTTTCAATAAGTAAAATTAGGGAAGCTACTTGGAACAACCAAAATTTCTTCTTTAGCTTCAGTAGTTTTGATTCCAGAGATATTTGTACCTAGTGGGTGAAATAACTTCTAGATATTTTGTTCATGTCTTATTAAAAGGCTTTGGGAGCTGGAGAGACGGCTCAGCGGTTAAGAGCACTGGCTGCTCCTCCAGTGGCTTGGCTCCCAACACCCACATGGTGGCTGACAACCATCTGTAATTCCAGTTGCAGGGTGACACCCTCTTCTGGCCTCCACAGGCATTGCATGACACTTACACACATGCAAGCAAATCACTCATTAGACAAAATTAAAAAGACGACTTTGGAACACATCTGTTTACTTTACCCTGCTTTGCAACCTTCATCCTCACAGCCCTTCCCTTACGTCTTCCATGTGGTTGGAGACCTTTCACTTCGAAGGGTTCTACTTCCCCAGGCAGGAGCAGGTTGGAGCTGCTCTTGGCCCTGTTCTAGGCTAGCTTGCAGTGGAGCCATTCACTTCTAAAGAACATAACTTCCTTTTTCCATTAACTTTTTACAGTTATTAGTAAGAAAAGAGGGCATAAGTTGTTTTAGTTGGACTACTTGACTATTACATTTATAATCCCAATGTTGATGAAAGTTATTGTGTGTATTTTTATAGATGTTTCTCATCTATAGTTTTTAATCCCTTTTCATGTTAGGAATGTCTCGAGGCAAATCAATGATCAGCTCCCTCAGTATCATGGGGGGAAGCAGTGGACCCCCATATGATCGAGCACATGTCACAGGAGCATCATCAAGCAGTTCTTCAAGCACCAAAGGCACTTACTTTCCTGCAGTAAGCAGTCTGGTTTTGCTTTGTTTTTCTTTCAGTGCTAAAATAAATAGCATCTTAGATTAACTCACTTAAATGTGGATGGTCAGTTGTGGGAATATAAAAAAATGTTGTGTTTTTTTTTTTAATGTAGAATTTAGGTATATGGAATTCAAAGAATTTTTAATGTAGAATTTAGGTATATAAAATTCAAAGAATTCACCACTTCATGCTTATAAATTTTTAAAGTTTACTATGTAGTAATCAACATACGAAATCATTAACTATCAATTTCACAACTCCATTAAAAATTGAACCACTAAGTGGGAACCTTTTGAAGGACTTAGGACCTTTATTTCATGATCTCCTAAAAGAGGAAGCTTGGGGTATGGTGTGGAGTACAGTCAGTAAAATGCCTGCTCTGGGAGCATGAGAACCTGCATTTGAGCCCTAACACCGAGCTAAAAGCTGGGCCTGATAGTGCCTGCTTATAATCCCAGAACTGGACAGGCGAGAGCTCGCTGAGTAGCTAGTCTTAGACTAATTGTTGAGCTGCAGACCCATGAAAGAACCTGTCGTAAAGGAGGTGGATGGCGTTCCTGAGGATGGCACCCAAAGTTGTTCTGTGTCCTCCACATGTAGGTGTACATACACTGTACACGCACAAACGTACACATGCACAGATAATACAAACTTAAGAAGAAGCACACCTAGAATTTCTCCTAAATTGATATTTTTTTCTGTGAACATAGAAGAATAGATTTTTAAAAATCAGAACCTCGCCAAATAGACCAGTGATGTGTGGATGACAGGTTTTCTTCTCATTTCGCACTATTGAGCATGATGAAATCGCAGTGTGGAGAGGGAGCCACAGTCTTGAAGTGCTGTTTGAGGCCAGCTTTTTTGGAAAGAAGGATTGTGCTGATAGTATGATGGAAGGAATAGGTGCAAAGATGAAGGAAGGTGAGAGGCAGCCTGGGTTGATGGAGGTTCTTGTAACTTTATATATTTTGTTTTACTTTCAGATTTTGAACCCGCCACCATCCCCCGCTACAGAGCGATCTCATTACACCATGGAATTTGGTTATTCTTCAAATAGCCCTTCCACTCACAGGTCCTACAGGTAATTCACGTCTTCCTTTAATATAGGCTGAAGGGCTTATCAGATGGAAGGTAGTTTGCAGTTTATTTCCATTACCTGTAAGGTCAGACCAAGTCATTTGTGAGCATAGTTAACTTCAGAACAGTGACCCCTGAACAGGCTGACATTGCCCCTCCTGCAAACCCTTTCCTTTCAGGACATTTTATGCTTTTTAAGAGTGACTTTGAGAGAATGACGTAGGGAACTGGGGTACTGGTCAGAGCTTGAGCACAGCTGTTGAGAGAAGTCAGAAGAGGAAGGTCAGACTGTTACGTATGTTATAGTGACCTGAAGTTGCGTGGAGTGAGCAAGTCTCACAAAATGAATGAGGCATGTGTGTGAGTCACAAGAAATGATGTTGCTGTGCTAATCTGTGAGCAAGCCAAGCAGGGCAATCACTGCAGTGTGCCCCTCGCTCTTCTCATTGAAAGGCCAGCAGAAGGTCACAGCTTTCTGTTCTGTGTCTGATCTGCACGGTGTGTATGTAGTCTTCCGTGTAGTTTTCATTCAGATAATATGTTTTCTTTCAGTAGGTTGACTTGGTCTGACCTTACAGGTGATAGAAATAAACTGCAAACTACCTACCAGTGTCATTCAGATTCTTATCACTGAGATAGCCTTGACCCCAAACTGATATTGATCATGGTTGATTGTAAGATTTCTTTCCCTGCTGCAGATTTGCTCTAAAAAGCCAAAGCAGAAAAACCAGAGGCCTAAAAATTGAGAAAAGCAGAATCTAAAATTTCATTTTACTTTTTTTCAAACTTTGTGTGTATGTTATGCTTACATGTATGTAAATGATTTTATTGTTTTGACTTTTTGAGACAGCATCTCCCTGTAGCCCCAGCTGTCCTGGAACATTCTAGACCAGGCTGGCCTCCAACTCACAGAGATCCCAAGTGCTGGGATTAAAGGCCTGCACCACCACACCCAACTGAAATTTCACTTTTAAAACCTTACTTCAGCTTCTATAAATCATTGAGCAAAATAAATGACTACATTGAAAACTGTTCTTACATCGTTTCCCATGTCTAAATTAAGCCCAAATTTTGTTTCTTTGATGTTACACCTTGTATCATCATTTGCTATAATTTCTACCAAAGCTGGAACGTAACAGAATGTTGTTGTTCAACCTTTGCCCCTTCCCCCTTCATGAAAATTGAAGTATTTAACCTTTTAAATGCTAAACCAGAAAAATCTCACTGGGGCTTTGACACCTGTTTGGATAGAAAGATGAAGCAAACGAAACAAAAGTGCTGTGGTGACATCATGTCACTGGTGATGACAGCCCTCAAGAACTTGTTCAGCAGGTCCTGTAACTTCTGGCCTTCTGGCAGTTTCTCTGGAGGCCAGGCAGTGACGGCAGGTGGCATGTGCCTTGGGGTACCGTCTTGGGTGCTCCGTAGAAATGTCCTGAATTGCTCCTAGCTGTCATTGCTCTTGTCTCTGTCTTGTAGTCCCTTTGTGTTGGGAGAAAGTTTGTGGGTAAATCTTTGGGATAAATATAAAATGATAACCTTTACCATATTTAGAATAAAAAGTTATAAGAAATCGTACATGGAAAAGCCAGCATTTTAGGTCAGCTCATATCTTCATGAGTATGTTCCTTTCCAGTTCATTTTTCTAGTCCATTGCCTTAACCACTCAGCCACAACTACTCCAGTTCATCTTTCTTAGATAACCATGCTACTAGTTTACCAACAATAGATTACTTGGAAAGATACATGTAAATAAATATAATGAGACTGGAGAGATGGCTCAGCAGTGAAGAGTATATACTACTCCTCCAGAAGACCTGAGTTTAAATCCAAGCATCCACATTGGGCAACTTAGCTGCCTGTAATTCCAGTTCTGGGGGGTTCCAAGGCCTTTGACTTCCACCAGCACCTGCACTTACATGCACAGACACATGTATACACATATACACATTAATTAAAAATAAATCACACACACATATACACACGTATCTATTAGGCCTCAGTTAAAGCTACACTTAGTACAATATACCTGTCTACACACAGACGATCAGAACTACTTCTCCCAAATTATGGTTGTTTCCCTTTGCTGATAGTAATAGTAATGGGGTAGATAAGCCCAGACTGTTGAAGTTCAGCCTGGTGTCCTAGTTTGTTTCTCCATTGCTGTGACAAAATACTCTGACCACTACCAACTTGGGGAGGAAAGGATTTATTCAGCTTACATCTCCCAGGTCACAGTTCATCAGGGAGTCCATGGTAGGAACTCAGGGCAGGAACCTGGAGGCAGGAGCTGGAGCACAAGGCCATGGAGGATCACTGCTTACTGGCTTGCTCCCCTGGCCCCTGTTCAGCCTGCTTTCTTATGCAACACAGGCCCACCTGCCCAGGGGTGGCAGTGGGCTGGGCTCTCCCACATCACACAACAGTCAAGAAGATGCCTCACAGACATGGCCACAGGCCAGTTCAATGGAGGCAGGTCCCCAATTGAGGCTCCCTCAACCCAGGTGTGTCAAGTTGACACTAAACCTATCCAGCACACTTGGTTTATGTAATATTTTACTTTTAGAAGAAATGAAGTCTTCAGACATCTTAATTATCAAGTAAACTAGGAAGTGACTCAAGAATGTTGAGAGAATGCTGACAGGCTTGAGGAGTATAGACTATGTAAAGATCCATCTTCCTGTATTGTAAGCAGTTGCTGAGTTCTCTGAGTGCAAAATGTGTGACAGAGGTAGGCTGAGAGTAAAATTCAGTGCTAGGATACTCTCTTAGTATGTGCTGAGTACTGGGTTCAGTGCCCAGCATCATTGGAAAAAAACAGTATAACTAATTTTCTCAAGTACAACTCTTGTGTTTTTCTTTTTTTTTTTTGGTCTTTTTGAGACAGGGTCTCCCTGTAGCCCCAGCTGTCCTGGAACTCACTATGTAAACCAGGCTGGCCTTGAACTCACAGAGATCCACCTGCCCCTGCCTCCCAAGTGCTGGGATTAAAGGTATTTTTTTTTAATACGACACTGGGGGATCAAACCCAGGGCTTTGTGCTATACATACCTTAGGGCGGAACTGTATTCCTGGGCTAAGTGCAACTTTGAGTGGTCCTTTTGTATTCTGTGATACAGTTTAAATTGGAGACAGAAAAGCACATTTTTAAGGCTCAATTGAGTTAATCTCTGTTCTCCAACGCTATCCATTTTTTTAACTTGCCTCTGTTTACATTTTATTTGCAAATAGGATATATTGTCTTCCCCTGCCTTCTGCCTTTGTGCCATAGGAAGTTACCTATTTTCTTTTTTTTATTTTATTTTATTTATTATTTTTATGTGTATTTGTGCATTGCCTGCATGTAGGTAAGTGCACCCATGTCGTGCAATGCTGGTGGAGGTCAGAAGAGGCTGTTTGGATCCCCTGGGACTGGAGTTTCGGACAGTTGTTAGCTGCCACGTGGGTCCTGGGATTCGAATCCAGGTCTTCTGCAAGAATAACCAGTGTTCTTAACCACTGAGCCATCTCTCCAGCCCCTCTTTTTCTTTTTTCTTCTTTTTTGAGATGGTCTCCCTGTAGCCCCAGCTGGCCTGGAACTCACTATGTAGACAGGCTGGCCTGGAACTCACAGAGATCCGCCTGCCTCTGCCTCTGTCTCTGGGATGAAATGTGTGTGCCACCACGCTGGTTCAAGGCAGTGACTTACATTTGCTGGTGTGGGGGTTGAACCCAGAGCTCCAGTGCATATGTTAGCCAAGTACTATCTATATGGATTTCAGTTGTAATAGTTTATAGCTTTCAAAGTGAATTTTCATCTGGTTTCACTAAATTCTGGTGCAGAATATTGTTCTCTGTAAAACTAATTGTGCTTCTCTTTATTTTTTCCCTGTGGTAGTTATAGGCCATACAGCTACCGGCACTTTGCACCGCCCACTACACCCTGCAGCACAGATGTCTGTGACAGTGACTATGCTCCTAGCCGGAGAATGACCTCTGTGGCAACAGCCAAGGGCTATACCAGTGATTTGAACTATGACTCAGAACCTGTGCCCCCACCACCCACACCCCGAAGCCAGTACTTATCAGCTGAGGAGAACTATGAAAGCTGCCCCCCCTCTCCATACACAGAGCGGAGCTACTCCCACCACCTGTACCCACCACCACCCTCTCCCTGCACTGACTCCTCCTGAGGAGGGGCCCTCCTCCTCTGACTGCCTCCACCGGGAAAATGTAAATACACATCTGGTTGAGATCTTGAGGGGGGGAGGGAGTGACTAGAGAAGAGTGAGGCAGACCATGTACAGTTCACATTGTAGAATGGGGAGGGAATGCTGGAGATATTTGTACAGAAGAAAGGATATTTATATATTTTCTTAAAACAGCAGATTTGCTGCTTGTGCCATAAAAGTTTGTATAAAAAATACATTTGTACTAAAAGTTTTATTTTTGCAATCTAAATACACAAAGCATGCCTTAAACCCAGTGAACGGACTGAGTACAGAGGAAACAGGAATACTAAAGACATCACTGACCAGGAATGTCTGGGCTTTAATGATTCCATCTCAGACTGGCAAACCGTAGATTGGAAGTAGCTAGATAGCCTTCAGGTTAACTAACATTTGAGGGCCAACACGTTAAGAAATCATGAAAGAATAATAATAATAATAATAATAATAAATTTTGGACAAAGGGCTTTTTCTTCTCTAGGAATCCAACAATTTTCATGAGAAAAATAAATACTTGTAAAAATCTATTCTGGGTGTTGCAGTTGTAGGGAGATCAAATGTCTGTCGCAGGATGCTGTGGAGCTGGTACGAGTCTTCTGTCCCTACCTGAAAGCCCACACTTCTGTCAAAATGGATGTTTCTTGTAGGTATTTCCACCTTGCTGCCTCCCCAGCAACGTGTAGGCCATTTGCCAAAAGTCATGGTTTAGTCAGGCTTTTGTAATCAGAGGAATTGAGTAAATGGAATTTACTAAATTAGGGATTGATTTCAGTATATCTACTATATCTGTTTACCATTAGGCTTAGCTGTTCAAGTTGTTGGCTGTTTTTGCATAATGATCAAAAGTTAGCCATATTATTGGTCTTCCAAGATTGTGTTAGTGCTCATTAAAGTGTCTTTACAGCACATATAGACAGTACTCAAAATTAAAGCTCTAACCATTGTTTTGTTGTAGTTAATCATACATCCTTGCAGTACTCAAGCGTGTGCTATCACAGTGTGAAATCATTTTCAATGTATATTTTTTGAGTAAAACATTTAAATGTGCTCTGGTTAGAAATAATCTATTTAAAAATTTTTTTTTGTTATTATGAGGTTTCTCTATATTAACTTTATGACATTTTTATGTCTTTAGACCAGTTTTTCTCAGAATGATGTCTTCGTACATACCTCTTTAAATGTATGACGTGAGTTACCTTGTTACCCACTGTGAATGTTTTCAGATGATCCACAATTTATCCTTACAGTCACTTCCTGTATTTTTATGTGTGTTCTTTCTGATGGCCATTATGGAATAAGATGATTTCACAAATTGTTGATCAGCGGGGATTGAACGAGAAGACTCACTGTGAACTTCTCAGCTGCGGGGACTTGGGCAGAGGGAACTTCTGCAATGTGCCTGACCTGCTGTCTTACGGTACTGGGGCATCTACATCCGCAGCTGTCAGGGCTGACCTGTGGGATGATCCGAACACTTCTCGCTGCTGTGCCGGAAGTTACTGTCCTGCTTTTTACTTGCATCTAGCACTCCTCAGCTAAAACTGATCTGTTTTTAAACTAGTATGTTTTTGCTTAGCAGGTGTTGGTTACTTATATCTTGATGAGGCCTCTTTAAATTTTAAAGCCTAAAAGAAAACAATGGAAGGATTCAGAAGTTTGGCAGAGGTAACCTAAAAAACAAAAATAATTTTTTTTTAAGAGAAAAATTATCAGGCCAGGCATGGTGGCAAACACCTTTAATCCCAGCCCTTGGGAGGCAGAAGCAGGAGGATCTCTGAGTTAAGACCAGCCTGGTCTATACATTGAGTTCCAGGCCAGCCAGGGCTGCATCCCTGTCTCAGAGAGAAATTCCCATTTCATTATCATTTCAAAATATTGCTCAGATTGTTAGGGGCAGCTTATTAAGAGTTGGGTGCACTTGATCTTGCATGTAAATAACTGGTAATCCATCAGTGTCTTGCATTTCAATCAGATAAGCATGAACTCTTCCTGTTGATGGAACAAAGTACTCAAAGAGTAGACCTTGAACCTTGCTTCTGTGACACACAGGGGCACTTGATGCTTAATGTTTGAATATGGAATCTGCTAACTGGGTGTCAATCAGAATTTGAGAGTTCTGTATGTTTACATTTTTTAATGTGCATCTTTATCTGGTGGGCTTTCCTTGTGGAAACTTGCACTATAATGAACTAAGAAGAATATTGCCTTGTCTTCTCTCAGTCCAAGTGCTTGTGCTGCGATGGCAACGGCCTCTTTTTGCAAGATACTGATTTGTGTGCCAATTTGTTTGAAACTATTTGAAGGCAGTTCAGGTTAATCTCAGTATTCTCTTTCTGGGGTAGTGAGTTATATTACTATTTGTAAGAGTACTTTTTTAGTGAGAGGGTTGTCAAATTTGGGAAAGATGTGTTGGTCCTCAGGTTACATGGACAGTTAAGCTTAAGTAAACTATGTCTTGATTATTGAACATAAGAGCTTTCATTGAAGGAAAAAAAATGAGAAAAAATAAACTTACGAGACCAAAAATTGGGGAAAAAATGAAAAGAGTTTTAAATTAGGTTATGTCTGATTAGGTTACATAAATACATAAGGACTTATTTTGAACATGTGTCTCAAAGTACGCCTGCTTATTGATAGGATTGAGAGCTTCTGAGGAATGAACTTTGATGTAACATACTTTGTGTGCACTTCAATAAGTTTTTCTGCATTGAAATGGTCTTTTATAACTCAGACTTGGACTTGATTCCTTCAGAGCCCTGGCCTTCTAACCAAGGTCCAAGAGCTGCTGCTTAGGTCAAATAAAAAGCACAGTCATAGGAATTGCTTAAACTAGAGTTGGTTTCTAGGATAGTCTCAGGATTATTTTTTTTTTCTATTTAAAAATTATGCCTTTGGCAATGCATTCAGTATTTAAGTTATAAAAATAGTCACCATCTGTTTTAGGTAGCAGTTTGTGGGGAGCATCTTTATGTTTTGCTGTAAAGGCCCATTAATGAGCATTATTTTGAGTTCAGAGCCATGCTTACTTTACCCGTTATTGAACTCTGCTCATGTGACTGATACCAGTAGTTGCTATAACCTCTAGGAAGGCTTTTTGCAAGAAGTCTGTTTCCCTACAGTAGGTGGTTGCTTAGCTTCTTAGAGGTACAGTTTATAATGTTTTGTTTCTCGTAGAAGAAACCTTGCAAGATTCAAAAACAAAAGTCTTCAGTTTTTTTCCGCCTCTATGTCCAGTTTTTAATAATCATGCAGTGCTTATGAGGTATCTAGAGTTTGTCTGGAATATAGATATGAGTGTGTGATTATGAGTTAGTTGACAGCTATTTGGGGATCCACAAATGAGACCACACACAAATGTAGGCATGGAGTGAACAAATTTATAACCAAGCAGTCCTTAAAGCATCAGAATCCCCTTTAATCTCATTTAGTTTTCCTTTCCTTAAGTTTGAAATAAGCCAAGAGAAATAGCATGATTTTAGAAAGTACCCTTGGCAAATGCGTGGTTTCTGATTTCTAGGATGGCATTACTGCATGATACTGTCAAACTTTGGGTTTTGAAATTCTCAGGTTTTAATGTAAAGGGCTTTGGGCCTCAAACATGAATTACACAGTTAAACTTTTAAATGAGGAGCATTGTGATTCCATGTTCTCCCGTATCTCTCTCTGGTTTGATTCCGAAGCTCAGTGGACTAAGCTTACACCTGAGTGGGGGGGCAAGGGGAATGTTTAGGTTTATCTTAATGACTGGAATCAGATTACCCTGTCCTTACCTCCTTCAGTTGAGGTGAACTTTATTTTTTTTGTTCGATCATTTTACCTAAAGCATTTGTACACTATTCTTAATTTTATTCCTGAAAAGTAAAAAACCCTCATGACTTTAAAGAATTGAAGACTGATTTCTTATACTCATTGACAGAATATCAGCCCAGTACATACCAGTCATTGGATTTCCCATTGTCACTTAGTGTTTGCCCAGAGTCAACACCAAAGAGTTACAGACAGCATACTTCTGCTTAACTGTCCATTAGGGGCTTTGTTTTGTTTTTACATCAAATATAAGAAAGTTGGGGGGGGTGGCTGTATATCTATGTGGATACATATTTATTTATATCAATGCCTAAATACGGCTATTAAAAGGAAAATGAAGCAAGGAAAGTGATTAGATCCAATATCGGGTCAGGACATTTGAAGGAAGAGGATACAGGAGGCTAGACTGAACCAGCCTTCTTGCAGGTGAAGGATCTGGTGCTGCTTTCAGATGTTTATCATTTATGAATTTAAATTTTTTCTTAAGCTTTAATCTTTGTCATTGTCTTAAAGTCAGCTGGTGTTTCTTGTACATCGACTTTGGTACGATGGTGCTTTGCAAGGATGTATTTATATTATAATGACCAACATTTGGTCAGCCCTTCCCCTCTCCACTTATTCACTTCCCCCTTTTGTAAAATAAGTGCTTTAATTATAAACTGTATAAAAGTACCTTGTATAAACCCTTCTTTTGATTATTACATTAAGCTGAATTGTAACAAATGAAATGTTGATTTTTATAATAAAATGATGGAAAAATCAGCAGAAAAATGGCAGTGTCATTTCTTTTCAACAAGAAATAATGAAAACCATAGATGGGTGTGCTTTGCATGATGTGAATAAGATTGCAGTGTTTCAAACCTGGCAAGCCCTGCTTTGTGGTTTGCATGTCAAGATGAAAGGCCTGGGCAAGAGCTGGAGCACGTGTTACTGGAAGCAGTAAGGACCACATTGTGCTGCAGGACTGTCCTTCTCTCTGTCAGGACTATGAGTAACATCCTCTCCCTCTCCCCTAAATTAGCTATAAAGTGGGCATTGCTTTTCCTGGAGAGGATTCTAGTGTGCTGAGGGATGTGTGCTGCTCAACCTGAACTACAGATCCCACTGAGTCTCAGTGTGCTGGTTTGATCGGGAATAACAGCTCAGGTGCTAAGTGGTTAAATGGAAGCCCACTTCTATATAATGCCTTCCCTTATCTGGTGTTCTCAAGTGAGTCTATCTTGAGAGAGGCTGTTGATTTCTCTCCCCCCGCCCCCCAGAAGGTAAAAGAAAACAAGCCATGCCATTTCTGGTTAAGGCAAAGAAAGGAAAGAGGACTGTGGCTTTGCCTGAGTTCAAGGTGGTCTCAAGAAGGGAGAAAAGCCTGCAGCCTCCTTTTACCAGATAAGCTTTTGCTAACATTTATTCAGTCCTTGTAATTTTAACTCCTTGCATTCTGTAAATTAATTAGGAGGGCAAATCACCATGCTCAATTCTCTCCATTTATACCATTATGTAGTCTACACATTAACCTCACCCTGGAAAACTCTCTATCTGAGATTTGCTTTTACAAATTAAGATTTAGTCAAAATAGAAAATCGTCCCCCATAAAAATTTTATTGAAGTCTGGCCTGCATGAACTACACGAGGCACTGTGGTAAGACGCTTCCCTCACCATGCTCAAAGTCATCACTTGATAATGACCAGACTTGATAGGAAATGCCCAGTTGGAGTATGTAACATCTTTATCAGAACTGCAGAGATGGACATGACTGAAACCTGGATTCTACCCTCTGTCACCTTATAATGGATTGAGGCGAGTCTGCCATGTTTATGGTCTCAGTGTTTCCTGCTTGGCATTAGTCTGTAATGTAGCGCCTCTGACACTCTGCCTAGTTCACATGATTCAGAAACTGGCTCACACCTAAGCAGATAGTACCATAAGGTCAAGCCTGCTGGAGCCTGAACTCCTCTATGGCCCCTCTTATGTATACACAGCTGTTTGATGCCTCTTTTTCCCTGGGCATCTGCTATGCTTTTCAAAGAGTTTTATACTTCTCCAAGAGAAGCAGCCCAGTACCTATTCTGCATCACAGGGTGTATGGCTGGGGAAGGGTGGTATTACCTGGAGAGTGGAGTTTTTATTTTTATTTTATACATGTGAATGTATAGCCTGCATGTATATAAGTGCACCTGCATCATGCAGTGCCCACAGAGGTCAGAAGAGGGCATCAGATCCCTTGGAACTAGAGTTACAGATGGTTGTTAGCCGCCATGTGGGTGCTGGGAACCAAACCCAGGTCCCTCTGCAAGAACAGCCAGTGCTCTTAACTGCTGAATCATCTCTCCAGCCCCAATAGCTGACTTCTGACCAGCCTTCCAACAGCTCCCGCACTTCATCACTCAGTTCCACAGACTTGGAATCCCATGTTTTATGCAGTGATTAAAGTTCTTTGTTGAGGATTCCATGGAAAGGAAAATAAATGATAAAGACACCAAATTCTATGAATGCTGATGCATTTTTATTTGTTTGAGACTGGATCACCCTATAGCCCCAGCTGGCCTGGAACTATGTAGACCAGGCTGGCCTCCGTCTCACAGAGATCTACCTGCCTCTGTATCCCAAATGCTGGGATTAAAGACGTGCACCACCACACCTGGCCCATTATATTTTCAATGTCTGTTTTCGTTGCTGACATTGATAATCTGTATTATATGGTGAGGCTCAGAATACATTATTCCCAAAATAAGCACCGTGGCATACCAAAGCTTTTAAGCTGAAAGAATTTGAAGAAACAGAAAGCAGTGTGGTCTCTGGCCTCATTTTTGCCTCAGAAATAAGGTCATGGAGCTTAAAGATTTTTTTTTTTCCTCTGAAAACAAAGGACCCAGAAGAAGTCAAGCAAGCAGGACTTGTTAAGTGTCTCCCTCGCCCCCCCCAGTTCATTACAATTGGGTAATATTTCATATTTCCCCACAACAGTCCACTCTGTCAAATCTGTATAAGACTTATGTGCCAGGTGTGGTGGCACATGCCTGTAAACCCCAGCACTTGGGAAGTAGAGGCAGGAGGATCAGGAGTTCAAGGTCATCTTCTGCTACATAGCAAGACTGATGCCAGCCTAAGCTACAGGAGACCCTGTCTCAAAACAACTAATAAGATTCACTTTGCTGCCACTTCCTCCTCCTCTCCCCTCCTCCCCATCCTGCTCTTCTTCCTCCTCTCCTGTGTCATGTACATCTTACAAATTTGGATGACACAGTGTTGTATTATGGGAACTTTATCTGTGAACCTACGAGAGGGTAGAGGAAAAGACATTTTTCCTCTCTACCTCTGGTCTGAATTAATCAAACTACAGGTCTGTCATTATTATTAACCATTTCTGGAAATTAGCTCTGGTTCTAACTGGTCTTTTTCTATTGTGTGACCATTTTCTGTTTCACTGGTTTCTGTCCTTCTAGAGCCTTCTTGGTACAAGTGAAGATATATTCTAAAGAGAGATACTTGTGTCCCTCCCTTTGGCTGTCAAACTATTGAAACCTGGCCTCAAGGAATTGGAATTTCCCCCAGAGTGTAATGCTGGGAAAGGAAAAGGCTGAAACCCTGGTGTCAGAACAGAGGAGAGCTGGACACTTAAGAGAATGATGGATCAGTGATGGGGGCAGGACCGCTCCTTGACCAGGGCTGCTTAGTTACCTATACCTCCTATCCTTTATTTCAACCTAGACCTCATGTCAGTACCCCAGAAGATGTCTGATGAGAGGGTGTCACTGGACCACTTTATTTGGTCCTTTGTTTTTCTGTCCCTACAAAGATTTTTTATTTTATGTGTATTGAGTGTTTGCCTAAGTGCAGCCCATGCATGCAATGCCCACAGAGGCCAGAAGAGGGCTCCGATCCCCTGAAACTAGGGTTATGGAGGATTCTTTGCCACCTGGTCCTCTGCAAGAGCAGCCAGTGCTCTTAACCTCTGAGCCGTATCTCCAGCCTGTCCCAATATTCTTTAACCTGAAGTCTACTTTGATACTAATAATGTGATCACACTGGATAAATTTCTTTTCTCTCCTTTTCACTATTATTTTTCTCTAATTGGTGTATTGAAGACTGAGCCTCGCTTGTTAGGTCTGCCAAAGTCTAGGCTTTGACCTGAGAAACTAGTAACACTTCCTTTTACTTATTTTGGGGTAGAACATCTAGGTTTTTTCTTTATTTTTTAATGAGACAGTGTCTCACCATATAGCACAGGCTTGTTTCTAATACATGATCCTCCCCCTTCAGTGCCTCAAATGCTAGAATTGCAGGTGTGTGCTGCCCTCTCAAATCTGTTAGCTTAAGATGAAGCTCAAGTTCCTGATTTTTAGACCTTTTATTTTTAAATTAATAGAACCATTTCAATTTCCTTCTTAGCACTGTGTGTGTGTGTGTGTGTGTGTGTGTGTGTGTGTGTGTGTGTTGAGGCAAGTCCTTCCTATACATCCCAGGCTAACCTCAAACTTGTGATCCTCATGCCCCAGCTTCCTGAGTTATGGCATTCAAGACATGTGACACCACGTCTGGCTAAATATGCCTAAATTGCTTCCACAAATGTTGCTTTTATTACCATCCAGTTCAAAACTTTTAGATTTTGCTGTTTTTTTATTCTTTCAACAATGAATTTCACAAGAGTAGACTTAACTTCTAAATATTTAGGGATTTTTCCAATATCATTTTGTTATTTTTAAATCGAATTTCATAAAGGTCAAATTTAATCCTTTTAAATTTATTGTGATTTGTTTTATGGGCCAGACTGGTTTTGTTAGTGAATATTTTATGAGCTCTTGAAAAGAATGTGTGCTCTGATATTGTTGGGTCTAGTTCTCTGTAAGTCAGTTGGATCAGTTTGGGTTATAACATTCATCTCTTTCATACATCATGATGAATTTTCAGTCTATTACCAAAAGAGCAAAAGAGGAGGGCTGGAATCTCCAAATATAGTTATGGCTTTGTTGGTTTCATCTTTGCTGTGTTTACATGGCTGTACACCATTTAGGATTGTTACATTTCTTAACAATTCACCCTTTTATCATTATGTGATGTTTCTCAGTCCCTATGTTCTCTAACCTAAATTACTTTGACTGATAGTAAATTCCTATTACCAGCTTTCTTGCTTTCTCTTCTGTGTTTAGACCAAAGACAAAGAGAGAAAATAAAATAAAAAAGAAAGAACAGGTCAAGGTGCTTGCTGCCAAGCCTGAGGAACTGAGGTCACTTCCTGAGACTAACTTGCCACAGCATGTGCACCCATACACACACACACACAGACACACACACACAGACACACACACACAGACACACACACACAGACACACACAGACACACACACACACACAGACACACACAGACACACACACACAGACACACACAGACACACACACACACACAGACACACACAGACACACACACACAGACACACACAGACACACACACACACACAGACACACACAGACACACACACACAGACACACACAGACACACACACACACACAGACACACACAGACACACACACACAGACATAATAAAGAATTTAATCCCACCAAGCATGGTGGTGCACACCTTTAATCCCAGCATTCTGGAGGCAGAAGCAGGCAGATCTCTGAGATCGAGGCCAGCCTGGTCTACATAACCAGTTCCAGGCCAGCTGAGGCTACAGGGAGACCCTGTTAAAAAAAAAATTTTTTTTTTAACCCCACAGATTTTAGTGGGGTCTTTTTTTTTTTTTTTTTTTTTTAAAATTTTTTAAATTTTTTAAAA